CTTTCCCTCCTGCTTTCTTTCCCTCCTGCTTTCTTTCCCTCCTGCTTTCTTTCCCTCCTGCTTTCATTTCCTCCTGCTTTCTTTCCCTCCTGCTTTCTTTCCCTCCTGCTTTCTTTCCTTCCTGCTTTCTTTCTTTCCTTCCTTCCTTCCTTCCTTCTTTCTTTCCTTCCTTCTTTCTTCACGCAATATGTGCAATTTTAAAAAATTACAAAACCATGATTTTCTCAAAAATGGTTTTAAAATTTTGGTAGAGATAGCGCTAAATGTAACGTATAAGATGACGTAAACACGATATTGCTATATTCTTTTATTTTTTCAAAAATTACAATAATTTTTTTGACTCACCTCTCACGTTGTGAAAACTTGCTTGGAACTCCATATTTTCAGAAATGCTCAAGTGCCATTTTCTCAAAAATGCCTTAGAACTTTTTCTTCAACTATTTTGAAAGGAGTGGTAATTGCACTCTTTTGTATTAATTAAGTTTTTCGAAAACTCGAAAATTTTCTGTGAAAAAGATCTTCAAATTTCGAATTTACAGTTGCACTAGTAGTTTTTTTAAAATGGCTCCAAATTTTCAAAGAAAATTGCCATTTAGGACAAGGTTTTACTGTTCTTTAGTAATCGTAAAAGAATATTTCCGCTCAAGCAAGAATATGTAGCAAGTTCAAATAGCTAACCGTAACCAAAGGAAATAGAAAACTAAAACTGGAAAGTCTGTATCATTCTGTAGCACCACTAGTATTACTTTATGATCATCATAGTACAAATTAATTTTAGGGGTAGAAGTCTGTTCCTTTGATACAGACTCCCTTAGTTGCTGCTGAGATGTTCCTGGACCTCCCATCATTTCCTTGACCTGCATTTTGTTACTATTTTTTATTTACACCTTGATCTGTATTTTAGGATTTGTTTTGGGAATATGTCTGGTTTCATCCTTCTTGCATGATCATGTCATCTTCTTTGGTTTCTTTCTATTTTGTTTACTATATTTTTAATTTTCAGACTTTATTATTATTTTATTACTTCACCATTACAAATAATATGTGAAAGTATGTGCTACTTTAATCCAGTACACCAGTAATTTTTTTCTTTCTTTCAGACTTCTTTTTTCTTTTAATTTTTAATATTTAATTTTAATTTTATCATCTTAACCAAGCTAGAAATATAATTTTTATTAATGCATTGGTATTGGAATATTTTATTTGCAAAGTGTGTAACTAAATAATGTTGTTGTGGAAGTTTTATGTAAAACCTGCCATCATTGGAAAACAGAAGTGATGACAAAATTTTTTGTATAGTTTGCCGTGTATATTTCTTTGTGAATGTTCAGTGAGTAAATGAATGAGTGATGTTATTGTTTTCCATTGTCTTCTCCACTATAGCTTGGAAAGCTACTTCGTCTAACTATTGGAAATGTCTCACTGTATAATTCCTTTAAATCTAAGTGTTCCCCATTTTTATGTTCAGCCTTCAACTTAATCATATTTTGTTTTTATGCAGATGATTGTGTCAAAGGAAGGGGTCGCTTTTATCAAGGCACAGTGAATGTTACAAAAACAGGTCTGCCGTGTCAGCGGTGGGATACACAAGAACCACATTCTTTTAATCGTCCACCAGATGTATTTCCTGAGCTACAAAATGCAGAAAATTATTGTCGTAATGCTGGAGGTGAAGAACCTTCTCCTTGGTGTTACACTACTAATCGATCTGTTCGTTGGCAGCTCTGTGATATTCCAAATTGTGGTAAGGAAAAATAAATACACAACTGTGTTATACATTTTTATAACTAGCAAGATGTGTTGGCTTGCATATGTCTCTGATATCGAAGAATCTTTTTAAATGTTTACAGATGTGAAAGATTTGTCAATGGAAGGATTTTTCACACCTGTGGTTATTTTAATACTGGCAGCTGTGGGCTTTGTAGGACTTCTGGTTATCCTTCTGCTATTTTTATTGTGTCTTCGACTTTATAAACATTGTTTAGGATACAATCCTACCGCTACAGGAGAGGTAAGTTACTCAACTTCTTTCTTGGCACAATAACTTACAAAATTCAAGTGATATGGTATTATTCTAAGTAAAATTTCAGGAAGTGAATATTGATTTAGAAAAATTACCTAACAATATGGCGTACCATACCACTGGTGCACAGTTAAATCCAAAACTTGAGAAACTAGAGTTTCCAAGGAATGATATTATATATATCAGAGATTTAGGCCAAGGTGCATTTGGGAGAGTATTTCAAGTGAGTGGCAAAAATGCATTAAGTAAGGACATTCATATGTTCATTCATTATGTTTGGAATTCTATTTGTTTTTATTGTCTGATCATGCAGGCAAAAGCACCAGGACTTGTAAAGGGAGAAGAATTCACACTGGTAGCTGTTAAAATGTTAAAAGATGAAGCTTCTGAAGATCTGCAAGTTGATTTTGAACGTGAAGCATGCCTTTTGGCAGAATTTGATCACCCAAATATAGTCAAACTGCTAGGAGTGTGTGCAATTGGCCGTCCCATGTGTTTACTTTTCGAATTTATGGGTCGTGGTGATCTCAATGAATTTCTTCGTTCATGTTCTCCTAGTAATTATATAGTTCGTAGCTCAGAAGGTGATGGAGAAATGTTCAAAGATGTTCAACTGACCCATGTTGACCTGGTGAACATTGCTCGCCAAGTTGCTGCAGGAATGGTCTACCTTTCTGATCGAAAGTTTGTCCACAGAGATTTAGCTACACGTAATTGTCTTATTGATGATAACATGGTTGTTAAAATAGCTGACTTTGGCCTTTCTCAGAAAATATACTTGCAAGACTACTACAAAGGGGATGAGCATGATGCCATTCCTGTTCGCTGGATGCCTCTTGAGAGCATCCTTTATAATAAATACACAGTTGAATCAGACGTTTGGGCTTTTGGTGTCTGTCTTTGGGAAATATTTTCCTTTGCCCTTCAGCCCTACTATGGTATGACGCATGAAGAAGTTGTAAAATACATTAAAGAAGGAAATGTGCTCCAGTGTCCAGAAAACACTCCAAAATCTTTGTATGATCTAATGAAATTGTGTTGGAACCGCAAACCACAAGCTCGCCCTGGTTTCCGAACAATATATCAAACACTGGAGGAGATACAGTTGGAAGTTGAGAGGGCACAAAGTAGTAGAGCAGGTCCGTATCCTAGAAGAGTTCATGTGTGAATGTCTACTGGTTTATCTGATGTGATGTTACAGCGTGTATTGAAATGTTTAAGGTAATTCCAGTAGTCCATATGATCTTGTACCAAAGGGCACAGAACTTTCAGTAACAAATATTAGAATGACACAGCTATTTTTATGATTTTGAAGTACAAGTTTTTTTAAATGTGTAAGAGTAAATTGTGACATTCTCAATTTGTATTTCCATGTTGAAGTATTATTAAATATTTAGTAAAATCAGTTTTGCCTTAAATAGAAACAATTTCCATGAATTCATTTGCATTATTTTTTGAAATTGTCATAGTGTAACCATGATATTCCTTTAGAATCAAGGAGAGTGATGATTTGCTGGCAAATAAGATGCATTGCATTTTGTCTCCAAAAATAAATTAACTGAACATGGAACAGCATTGAATAAATTTTCTTATCAACAACATTTTTTTGAAGTACAAGGGTCACATTTCTTAAATTTTGGTTGTCTTCCAATGCTTTCAGCTTTAAGAAGGTGAACATCATTTCTCAAGTTAGTATGTTTCATCCGAGCCAGCAATTACTTTCAGGGACATGCAAATTTCCTAAAGAATATAATTGTCAAAAATCAAATTGTAAAATGTGTGTTCAATATGACAGGCCACTAATCTTTCTGTTCCCTTCTCCTGGGAAAACTACAACAGCTATGTTACTTGGTTGAACTTCTGATGGAAGAATATTTGTTATCTCTGACATGTTTTGCCTTATGACAAGTACTATATGTACTGGAATATAACCTGTCCTCAGATAATACTGGCACCCTAATTTTCCGGTGAGGAATCTTAAAAACAAACATTTTTTTCACTTTTATTGCAAAAATTTCTGTACTCCTGCAAAAACGCCTGCCGATTAACACTGGTTAGAATGCAATTTTTATAAAGCTGCGCCTCAAGGCCTGTCTTTACAGTGGCAGTATGTCTGGCATTTCCCATCTTTCTCGATTGTGCTGCTAATGTCACGACTGTATCACTCGGTGCTTGATATATCACAATCATGTGACACTAGTGGCACGCCGAGAAAGACACGAAATGCTGCAAGATATTCTGTAGTGAAGACAGGCCCTAAGGCACCACATTATAAAAGCCAAAATATAATGCCATGACACTATGTGCAACACGCTTGAAGTTCGCAGTACCAACATTGACTCGAATATTACTTGCACCCCAATTTTCTGCTAGCCATTTTTGAAAATAATATACGGGTTATATTAGAGTATATATGGTAACTTAAACACTCCCAAAAGTGTTGATATTTTATTTTAATAATACATAATATAGTAAGGTTATGTAATTTTGCAAAAAAGTCTATGTTGAGATTTTGACAGAAATACATGTACTGGGAATCCTTGAGAATATCATTGTGTGTGCATGTGTGTGTTGTAACCTTAGAATGTCTGACTGTGAACAATGCTTGCACCTATACCATGAATTTTCAGCAAAAGCGACATTCCCATGTTGATCTGGGTGACCCCTCAACTGTGAAATGGATCTTTTAATTGTGGGGAGTACTTTATTTTAAATCTCTAGAATATTTTCAGCATTATCTCAAAAATGACTTCACATTTTCTGCTTGGAGAGAGCAAAGTACACTTACAAAAATGGAGCTGGTCAGATTTGTTCTAAAACTTCTGAATTTTTGAAAATTGCGAAAGTTGAACCGTTTTGGACTCCCTTAAACCCCTCTCACAACACCATTAAGATACATTTTTTTTTAATGAAATCTGTTTTTCAAAATTAGATCTTTTATTAATATTATGAACAATATTTTCAAAATGAGAAATTTAGACAAATAAAAAAATACACCAACAAAATATTTTAAAAAAATGTTCTAATTTTCCGGGTAGAGCACAAAGTACTAAATCACACAACATAGTGTAATTTTGATTAAATCATCTTATTTTTCAAAAATTACTCATGTTCTCACTCATCATTGATATTTATAAGTGTATTTGTTAATAATGAGCACAAATGATCTAGTATTAAGGTTTTCGAAAGTGTCCACATTTAAATGATCTCAAAATTGCACATTTTCAGAAACACTCAAACATTTTCTCTGAAACTTTCAATTTTTTCTCTGACATTTTAATTTAAAGAGGTTTTGCTCTTCTTTAATATTCTGGAAGTTTCATTTCATTTAAAGTATTAGTGAACCAAGAAACTGACAAAATATGAAAAATTATTAGACACAATTTCATCAACAAAAATATTACAGGAAAGAAAAGGAAACCATTGTGTGAATTGAAACTCTGTCATTATTTTGTTCTGTAACATTCTCTGTAAAGCTATTTAAGTGTTAGAAATTAGTTTATTTATGACGATGTAGTTTTAAAGCTAAAGGAACTTTATTGACATTGTTTGTAAGGCAATGAATGGTGTCAAATATAATTGAGGTAGATAGATTCAATGTTGGAGCCAATTGCCAAATTGAGCACATAGATTCAATATAAGTCATGTTTTCATCGAAAGGTCAGTTTTACTTTTATTGCTATTTTTTTATTACATTATTATTATTAATAGTAGTAGTAGTATTTCACATAACCTTTTACAAATAGTATGGTAATGTCAGCTGGCTTTGTGGCACAGGACAGATGCGCCAAGTATGTGAACTCTAATTCTGTGGGTTCAAAACATGTATAAGGTATGTATATTTAGTGTGCTTGTAGCATAGGGACATTCCCAGTCCTTCGCGAAACACCTAAATACATACACACACACACATACATGTACAAGAAAGCCTGTGCCATTTGTAGCTCCATTAAGTGTTATTAGTAATTGAGCTACTCGCAACTCGCTGTAATCTTCCTACTCTTTTTAAAAATTCATATAATAGCAACGTTAACCTGGATAGCCAAGATAAGAATTTTAATTGAAATGTGACATTTGAATGTTGTAAAGAATTATTTCCAACAGAACGTGTACCTGCCTAATACCTGTGCAGGATGTGTTGCCTACTAATCAGGGTGAAATGTAGTACGTAATTTAGTTATGAGATTTCCCACTGCATGTTCATTAACATAAAAAGTGGTCTTCTTCAATCCCCCGAATATCCTGGGTGTTTGTAAAGTATATTCTGAACCATTCTGTGTATATACATACCTAATTATTTGAAATTACTTCCAAGTTCTTTGTACTCCTTGCTATAATATGAAAGCGATGTGTCTTATGTGCTGGCAGATATGTCAATTATAACATGAATATTTCTGTTGAACTGATTTTATTTAACAGTGACTTGTGAAAAACATGATATCCCTGTAGAAACTTAGTATACTGTAAATTGATTTGTATTTAGTATGTGCGAGAATGTCAATAGCATATTTACTCTCATTCTCATGAAAGTCACAGAACATACTATCATTAGTATAATTAGATAACAGAACCTTCTGAATGTTGTTTTATGATCAAGTTGAGATGAGAAATCTGTTGATACTTCATAATACTGAGCTTATTCAAAAAATTGTCACAAGGAATTGATGTAAATTTTTAAACGTACAAGAATACGTTTGATGAAAGTAATTATTGCTAACTGGCACTACATTCCATGAGACTTTTTGATGTTTGGTTCAATATTTGGTTTTTATTGCTTATTTTCATACATTAAAATATTTCATTGTTTTTTTATTCTTCTTATTCAGTATTAGATGTTTGATATCTTGAAACATCTAAGAGATTGCTATTTTCATTTTCTTTTTTCAATTATAACTAATTTAGAGAGCACAGTAGTGACCTAACTGAAATGTGGTGGGAGAGCAAGAACAGCATTGTGAGATGGTAGTAGCAGTTATGCCACTCATGCTCTTGAGATAGAGTTCGATTAAACCACTATTATGTTCACTGCCTCCATTATGGTAATTAATTTTTATATTGCTCTGAGAATGTCTGGTCCAAATAAATGCTTTGTAAATGCTTCCTGAGATATGTTACTTAGAAAGTACAGTCTTGATAGTAGAATGTGAGAGTAAATGCGTGCGAGTGTGTAGGAACATGTGTACACGTATGTGTGCGAGTATAGGAATGTGCGCATGTGTGTGTGTGTGGAATATATAGTATAGTTTTTTTATTTAAAATGTTTAATTCACTATTTTATTTTAAATGATGCTTGACTTGCATTAATATTTTTGATATCTCTAAAAGAGTGAAGAATTCCACTATTGTATTTTCCGTATTCTAGCATACTAAGTGGTTAAACACTGGATTATTAGTCACATTCAGTATATAACCATGAAGTCATAAGATATATCAATAAAGAATATGAATTGTACTTTGAGAAAGTGTAAAGTATTTATGTTTGTAAGACTAAGACAGACAAATACAAGGCTAGTTTCATTGCATTGAATGTTTGGTATGAAATAAATTTTAAAAATTGAAAATACAATTAGATCACAAGTTTTCTAGAAGATGGGATGTATTATATAATTGGCACATTGTACTTCCAAGAAATGCATTTTTTTTTCTGCTTACGAAGGAAGTTTGCACAATAATTGAATGTGGACAATAATTTTGTGTGTGGTCAAATAAATGCAACAATGTTTTCTTAATAGTCTTAAATGTTGCAATAATACATTGGAATCTTATTATGAAATTCACAGTAAACATAGCATGCGAATTTAATTTCTTTACAGAAACTTGAATACTTATTTTTAGCACAGAAAAGTGAGTTCTGAGGAATGTATGTTTTGGACAGTTGTTTTTGTCCTGTAAATTGAAGCTTAAAATTTTTAGTTAATTCATTATATCTGTTTCAAGTTCCATTTTGTAGCAAAAAAATTTATCAAGTTGACATTTTATAATTTGTCTTGTTGGAATTTAAGATTTTAAACATTCCAAAACTGGTTGCATGACAGTTTCAGAACTGAATGTTTGAGTGGTATATGTGTGAACTGACTTCTGTACATGGGATTCTATGTAGAGGAAAATTTTTCTCTGAAATATTACTCTAAGAAAAAACTTTTTTTCAGCTGATATTGTGCGTTTGAATTGGAAATCCACACATCTGTTTACTATGCTGCTGTATATACATAAATTAAAAATTGTTAAATGTACTCCAATCTTCATGTTTATTTAAACCTATGGTGATAATTGCACATACCTGGAATGTCATAATGACATAGATGAAGTTGCTTCTAAATGAAGTTGAATCTCAGTTAGATGCAATACTGTTTTATCATATGATAATTGATGTGAAATTTATTTGAATGATTAGGTGCTCAAAAAATGTAGGTTTTATATAAATAAAGCCAGGTTTTCATTAACTGTTTGTAAATTTCATTTAATGTATTCTTTACTCACAAAAAGAAATAGAAAAGTTTAAAATTATATCAATGTAACATATTTATTCAAGAACATGTTCATCATCAAAATTAGAAAAATATCAACACTGTTTCTATCCGTTATAAGCAAAATATTCAAATGTAAAATAGCATACTATTTATTTTCTGTTGTGAAAATAATACATTTGACTTAAACATCCATTTCTTTAATTCATTATCACTAGGAAACACCTGATGGGATGCACATAATCTAGGATATTATTTGCCTACTTTCAGAGTCAATAAAGGTCTGAGTACCATTGTCACAACTTGCAGGTGTAGTGTTTTGTAAACGAGAAAGCTAGCCTAAGAAAACTCACCCTTCTGAAAAATATACAAAAAATCTGCAAATATATTGCTTCATCAGGCAGATCGATTGCACCTGACAGAAGAATAACAATAAAGAATAGCAGCTTTATTGCTCACAGGCTTCTCTGTCAAACTTAACCATAGTATTTTGATTTCTCTCATTGTTCAACGCATACAAATAGAAGAAAGGCACCAGATATCTTATCTTGTCAATTAGCACATTTCATTTTTCTAAAACCAGAAATATCAGACCATGTGTAAGAAAAAATAGAGCTGGAACAGAAACTATTTCTATTTCAGCTATTTCATTCAATGTATTTAGATATATTAAATTCTGTAGTTAAATTTGTCAATATTGCAAGGAAAATATTTTGAAATAAAGAACATTCCGTATATTTTCCAAATATAAGACATGCCTTTTATCCATTTATTATGTGTACTCGAAATGATGCTTCTTATTTGCATACATGTATATCATAGAAATAATTGATAAACTTGATTGATTTTACATTAAATTTTGCAACTTCTGAACATGTTCCATTAATATCACATGTGCCTGTGAATAGAGATTGCAAGAAATATCTGGACTACAAAATTTGTTTAAACAGTAGCTACAGTGAAGATTTCCGGATATTAATCAACAACAATATGATTGTATCTTTTGTTCCTTTCTAATTCTACTATTTGGAGGTGTGCTGCGAAACAAGAAGTCAGTTTTGTTGGTATTAGGTAACATATATTAGGAAAAATACGGTAACATATTCAAAAAGTTATTAGGGTATCATAGAGTACTTTCTAAGAAACATTTGAGTCTTTGTTCTTACTTGAATTCTAATGACATTCCAGTGCACCCAGTACTTGGAAAATCAGATATAGCTTTGAGAAGAAAAATTAACTGAATCCAAAATGCCAATATTAAAGAATAGATCATTAACAGGTTCATCAGTGGTTCCAAAGACTTCTGTTGTGTGTCCTTATTTTTTGACATCTTGTTCTTCTGGTGTCCATTGTAAATTTAACATCTGTTCTCTGAGATATCTTCTATTGAGGTGAACTGTTAATGATCAAGATTTCCTTTTTTCATGTACAATTTTGAACATTTTCATAATATTCTCATTGTGAATTTATCAAGTGTTTGTGAAATTTATTCTTTGTGTCTTATCATGCAATAGATCACAGTGCAGGAATTTTGATTTAATCAAGCTTGGGTACGTGTAATAAATGTATTTTAAAAACAGTGTGTCACATATCTTGTACATTAATGCAAGGTGTTGAACTGTCTTGTGTGCCTTAGGATAGTTGTGCTGCATAAAATCTGTGTTGCTGTTTTATGTATTCTAGCTATAATTGTAGTGAAAGCAAACTGGCTCTTCACTTTAAGATCCTTAATAATTAACCTAAACTTGTCTTCAGTATAATGAATGTAAGCAGGTACAAGTGTAATGAGAAAGAATGTAGGGATGTGAAGTAAATTTGTAGTTTGATAATTAAATGAACCAATATGAAGTTGTTTGAGTACAGAAGATAGTCAGATGAAACATTTATGGAATAGAGATGGCCATTGTGTTCTGTGAATCGTGGTGAAATAGTGTGACAGGTGTACTCTGCATTTAATTGTATCTTATTATATTGTTTCTTGCTCTATTTAGATGGCTAATCAAATCTTTTGCTCATGCAGGCCATTCTACCTTGCCTCCAGAAGGCAGAAAGTATTTTCTTATTCTGAATATAGGTACCCAGCTTACTTGGGTTGAAACATCTTGACTGATTTACATATCGAATGTGAAGTTGCTTATTCTATGATTGTTCCACTGTCTAATCTTCCTTTGTGCAATTCTGCGATTTCTGGAATTACCTACTGTGTGTGTGTTGCAATTTTACATTATGTGATGGGTGTGATGTGCTTGCATTGCTTCCATATCTTGTCATTTGTGGTGTTTACTTTTTGGATGTTTCCAAATGGTGATAAAAGTCCTTTATGTATATTGTGTTTGGCGTCGTGAGTAAACGCTAGAGTGCAGATTTATATGAAGTGGCATATTTTATATTGATGTTATTGCTGTAAAAATTTGACATGGTATACTGTATATCATAGTGTATTGTTCATGTCCTGTTGTAGAGGAAGTGAGTGAACTCACAATGAATTTAGCTTTTTTAAAAAGAAAGTTTTGATATAGATTGTGTGAAGGTACTTCTATGCAAGATGAATTGTATGAACATTTTGCTATTCGTTTGCTAATATAAATGGTGGACTTGTTCTGGTGTACTGTAAATCAAAAAGACAATAGTAAATTTAATTGCAATGGTGTGTTTCCAGCTAGATAAAGTAAGGGCTGATGTCAGATTTCGTGTAGTCTAAATAAAAACTGAAGGTAAAATCATCCATATTTTTGCATAATTATGCATAGGTCGAGTTTTTATGGATATTTTCATACATATTTGTCCAGTTGTTGGTACATATAAATCCCCACTCTAGTAAGGACTGAATTATTCTAATGCTCAAAGAAAAGTGTATCCTCAAAAAAGTCTTTGTTTTATAAGTCAAAGCATTTCTTTCTAGTCAAATTATATGTAGTATATTTTACAGTGTGCTACTGACTTTTTTTACGTGCATAGAGTAATGCATTCACATTGAATGTAAAACAATATTTTAATTCTAAGGTCAACAACTAGACTTCCATAAACTCGATAGATGTTATTTTTGCATGTCAACAAGCTTCTTGGAAATAGTGTTTCAGAACTTAATAAACTAACAGTACACATTTGTCCAATTTTATGTCTTAAATTTTTATGTGACGAAATTCATTCAGCCCTTTTGGACAAAAGAAGAAAAAAATGGGTTGCAGATTAAATATCAGAATCTCTAAAAACATAGAGTACAAACAGAATTGTCTTAAATGCTTCTTTTGTCCAGAGAGCAACATGGCACTAAAATAAAGTCATTCTCAAATTATATTCTTCAAAATTTCTTGAAAACAAATGTGTTAATATAATGTCCCAATTTCCCTTCTCCTTTATAACTTATCTTATGGTTCCTCATACTTACTTATGGGTCAGTACACTTTCAGTAGTTTGATATCCCAATTAAGAAGCAAGATCAGTTTTCAAAAAATTAGAAAACTGAAATACTTAAGTGAAGTGTGTTATCTTAAATTCCGGAGAAAACAATTGCCTTAAAAAGTAACTACTATATAAAATCTATGAACTTCGTTACAAAAAAATACCTTTATCATAAACATTATTTGAGATTGGTTGATTTATCTAAATTCCCCTTTGCATCGTATTGTTTGACACATGCATGTTTTACTTTTCTTGTGTAGGTACTCAAAATTAATAATGAACATATTTCCTAACTTTACAACATCAAGGCATAACATATTCTAAAAATGCCTATTTAGTATTAGGACCTAAAATTACCTGTTTGTTGTCATTAAAAAACATTTCTGGCAAAGAATTCAGACAAGCTGAAATTTGTATTAATTAAAATGTTCGCATTACACTGGATTTGCTTCAAATCAGAAAACAAAGACAAATAATGCACAATCTGTTATTCCAACATTAAAATATGAACTAATCAGATAATGAAATTGAGAAATGGAAGAATATTTCTCTCTGCATTTTTTTAAAAATAGTTCATACTTCTGATTTTAAAAAGTTTGAAGTCAAAGTGAAAAGTTATTTTCATGTCAATTCTCCTTGCTTAAAAAATTATACAGCTTGTTTTCATCTTTAGAGCCTAAAAATCCAGTATGTATTTATATAAAGAGCTCATTTACCAATTTCAAATTTTGCTTGGGGGCATTAATAGGTATTCTAATTTAACCAATGTGTAAATATTAAATAACAGTAATTAATGATCAATTTTCTTTAACTGATGGCAAGAATTCAAAAAACAATTTATAAATTCAACATTAAACTAATTTCATCTTTATTTTGTCTTTGGGTTAACTCATGTTCTGCAATTGATTATTGAAATTGGACAATTGCAGCTTACAAAGTTGGGGAAATTTACATGTTGTTCCCTGAGCTAAAACAAGCTCAACACAGTACAGCAGCTTCAACTGAAAATACATGAATAAGTGTAGATGTTATTCCAAAAATACTTCTTTAATCATTCATTTAAACCCTTTCCAACAGATGATGATAGACAGTGATTAATATCAATAATCCTTATTCAGAATTGGGATCTATATTTATTCTGCTTTTGCTTGTAAAAAGTAGTTTAGAAGATGTGAAAGCCTTTTCTGAAGGTGTGAAAGGGGTAAATTTGGGTTTGTAGGCTACCTTGTGTGTATTCTTAAATGAAGAATGTGCTTGCTTTAATATTGAGTGAAGTTGATTATTAAATTTTTTTATACAAAAATTAGCTTTGTTCAGTAGTAACTATGAAACAATGGGCATGGGCAAAAAAGGCATCTAATTTTTAGAATGGATATTGATGTTCATACAAAGAATAAACATATTGCCATTCCAATCAATGAAAGCAATTTCATGAACATTCTTGTTATTAAAAAAAAAGTTTATATGTTTGAGGACAATTTTCCCAAAAATCAGCTTACACAAAATTTTTATAATTGAGTTACATATGACATTGTATAATTTGAAGAGAGAGGAATTGAATGGAACATTCAGAATGGATCTAATATATGGACTCCTGTTCATTATTAAAATATTCATGTTCGTATAGTATTGCAAATACTATTGGTGTGTTCTAGGTGCTAAAATACTATCAGATATTAAATGTGTATAATAATTTACCATTAATGATGGAACATTTATTTGTTAAATTGTATTTTTTTGATTTTTCCCCAAATGGTGTGTCCTGAATTTAAATCCTTTCTTTAATGATGACATATATCATGATCAAGGAAATCTGTGAAGTAATATTTAGTGATGTCCTTTATAATATTTCATTTCTGATCATATTTTTTAGAGTCCAATAAATCTGTTCATTAGTCACAGCAATTTATCACACGTTTTGTATTCTGCGAAGGAGGACCTACTGAAGTTCAATAATTTTATGACAACGCTACGAAATTTTTTTGGTATCTAACTAAATATGGTATGGAATGAAACCAGGATGTTCAACTTGAATATTTTTCTAACCTTTGAAGATACTCTGATACAGTTTGCATAAATGCAAATTGGTTCAAGTGGCTTCATTTCTGTCAATGAAAGAAGATTTGGATCCGTAAACAATTTTTTGTTAGTATAAGCTGAACAACCCACAAGATATCAACCTTTTGCATCAATTTACCTTGATGAACAATAGACCCATAATCTTTAATATTCTAAGTCCAGACTATAATGTTACTCATACTTATTTTCCTCTGTTAGGCTTTCAGTTACCTGATCACTAGATTCTTAGAATTTTAAAATTTACTGCAGATAAAATATATCCATTATTTTATGAAATACGTATTTTGAGACACCAACGGATATAAATTAAAATAGGAATAACTAAAATTTTGATTTTATTCAAATTTATTGAGAAAACTGAGCAGAATCAACCTTGTTACAAACGTCTTTTATAAATTTCTTGAAGTTAGGAAGTGTGAATGAAAGTGATAATAAATATGTTAAACAAAATGATTTAAACCAAATTTTAAAACAGCATTTTCAAAATACCTCATTTGTGTCACTCCCAAGTAGGCTGTCTTATCTGCTTTTTTCTTAACACTGAATGTCTTGGGCAACATCAAAAGAATCTCTCATGACTCACCAAGTAAAGGACACTAGTCAAAGTGTATTAGTAAGTTAATATATAAAATCAATTAATAGACATTTAGAGTTTTTACTCAGGAAAATAGGCAGACTTATCTTCACAATACATAACACTAATACCTTGGTATGAATTTCATTTTGGTGGCAATCCTTTCTCTAACAAATTTAGGCATTATGTCCATCATCTGGCCTCTGATGATAACACGTACAACTGGCCATATTTTAATGGAAACTTATAAAAACAATAGTTACTTTTAACTAAACTAACAATTGATTATTTAATACAGAGAACAGAAACTTGTTTAATCATACTAGTTCCTTTGAAGTATTTGGTAACATCAATTTCTCTTCTTGTAGTTGTTTTCAAAAGATCAACTGATTTAATTAGTGCACTAGCTTTGAATTTCTACAGTCTTGATTTCCTAGAAAGAAATATGGGAATTATTGTAAAACATGGCATTTTTCTGGCAGTATGTTGCTAGTTGCCTATATGATCCACATTTTATATAATCCAATGCAAAAAATATATTTAATAACACTTATACAAGACATAATTTTAAAGTATGTATAATCATTATCATACCCTTGCTTATGATTATGATAAATCTGTGTAAAATAATGAGTTTGTTGAGTATTACATTTCACTATCATTTTTTACTGGGTACAATATAACTGAATGTTTTTCAGCCACTCTAACCTCTCCAAAATGTACTAATGCGAATCCATAACGTATTAAACAGTGAAGTCTTTCTGGAAAGTTGGAAATGGAAAAAGGCAAATGTTTATAAAAATCAACTATGAAATCAATGTGGAGCTAAATTCTAAAAATACGGAAATATCATTGTACTTGTTTTCCAAACAGAGCATTGCGTTAGTTACATCGTCCCTTCGTTTTAAAACGCGCGGTTTCTGGACGGAGTCTAGCAGGTATTAGTAATAGTTCTTTGCCGATAGATGGCATTACTGATGATTTTCTTGTCATTATAAACGCTGAAGGGAGCACAGGAAGTGTCACCCTAGAGGAGAGCTACCCTTCGGATACAATATAACCGCTGCAAGTGCATTTAAAGGAGTGTCACGCGTTGTGCGGCACGCGTTCCCTGTTGGGTGACGTCAGGAACACACGCGTTGTTCTCAAAATCATTTCTTTGGGAGGCGCGGCGTGTGCGGCTGTATATTGTGACTGCTGCTTCTATATTTCGCAGAACCCTCAATTGACAGTAAGTTACTCGTGATGTTTGTAAATTTTCATTTATGTTCAATGTTTAAGTAAACTATATTCTTGAATAATATACTAGTTTCCGCATGCAATTCCATTAATTCAAACTCTTCATCCAGGATAAATCAAAACAATATTTCTCCTCACGTGCCGAGTTAAATCAATAAATGCCGCCTTTTTATTCATTACGGTATTTCTGATGAAAGAGTAAAGCGCAAAAAAAAAAAATATTTTTTTCTGCATGCACTGAATGATTATTACTGATTTCACACTGAAATTATATAATCCTATATTGCCATATCATGACGTTTTAAATTTTTCAAATAATTTATTATCTCGCTTATTTTTTTCATTTTTTTAAAAAATATAGTGTTAATATCTCCTATTTTATTTCATCTTCGTGGGGGGTGTTCAATGCTTGAGTCAACCGTAGTTCTGCTACCAATTCCTTTACTCACGCTAAGGAGGACGGCGCGAGTAATTAGTTTTCATTTTATTTTAATACATTTACCAGTTCTTTGGGGTTATGCAGATTTACGATATCATGGGACACGTGCCAGTTATTGATAGTACCACGTGCTTCCCATTTACTCCTCTGTAAATTTTAATGTAATATGTAATATTTTTACAGATCCGAAATCGAACTTATGCCGGTTAATTATAATCTAGTAATTACTAGTGGAAAAATTTGTGTTTTGGGGCTTTTGCGTGAAACATGAATTGTGCAAGCATTAAAAACTATTTCTAAAAGAATTTTATTTGATGCAAAATATACGTGAGGGCGGTTAGGTTGATTCCAAAAAGAACTACTCTGTTCCCTTTCTTAAACCTGCATTTTTAATGAGACATGTCCATCGTGTCCAGTTAGCGAAGAAAATTTGCACAGTTTTTAAAATATTTAATTACTCTTTCCATGCCTTCTGGTGTCAAAATGCACACGTTTCAAGAGATAGTTCAGTACTCCTTGACACACCGAGCTACAACACGAAATATTTTTTTGAGAGAATGAGCTAATGTATTCGGTTCCTAATCCATGTGACATAACTGAATAAACGTTGCCAGATAGACTAGTACTTTACAAACACTCCAAATTAAAATACTGTATGCGAGTAGTTTTAATATCGATATTTTATTCCTAAAATATTAATGAATTCATTAGATATTGTTGTTACTCAAGAATTACCATCAATATAGTGTGTTCCATTCGAGAAAATGAAACGGGTACAAATTGATTTTAAAAAATTTAAAAAACAATGGCAGTAAGTACAAAAGACCTTATTTGCATACAGGTGCATGAAGTCTATTTATGAATATGTAAAATGTAGAAATTTTGATGTTAGGCTGATTCGATTGAACTTTGGCACCTATAAAATACTGTGAGACACACATATATTCGGAAATAATTTCTTTAATCTATATTTTTCCTTGGATGTTCCTTCCTTTCTTTTTTCATTGGATCCCTTAATATTAAAATAAAAACGAACTGTTTTGAAATAAATTTTGATATGCGCCAACGTACTCGTATTGTTAATAATTTTGAACTCCTCTTATTTTCCCTTATATCATGATGCCCTATTATTTTATGTCTTAGTTACCATTTTGCAAAAAAATATTCATTTACGGAGGTAAATACAGACACCATATTACTTTTTATTACGAACACGCTTAAGTTAAAAAAATGTACTGGGTGCAGAAGTAAATCATTATACTCACAGATTGTTTACCTGTCATATTACATATTAACAAACTAGGTCCGAAGCAATTGTATTTACATTAGGAATCTTGCTTTACCCGCAAAGAAACCTAGTTCTACATGTCAAATTAACGGTAGACATGTAAACTATTTATTTATTTACGTCAAAAAAGTTAAAAACTGTGCTATGTGCTATTAGGAGAAGTTAATTTGAAGTTACATTTATGTCCAGAAGCAAAACAGGGGGTCATCTCAGCATTTGCTCGAGGATCAGGGAAATTGGACGAAAATCTGATCGAGATGGGGGTCATTGACCCAGAAGCTGAAGTACAATACTTGTTACAGGTTTTTTACAATTATACAATTCAAATGGTATATAATACATTAAATGTCATTGTTAAAATTAATATTACTTTACTTTTGGATGCTAGGTATAGTCTCTAATTGTATAGAAACAGTTGTGCAGCAGAAAATATTTTACTTGGGACAAACGTTTGTTTCCAATTTAATCGTTTAATGTCATCTGGCAAGGTGGTGTAAAATAATGTACATGTATTATATGTGAATTTTTTGTAGTGAGCTGTTGATACTGTCACCTGATGAATATAATTACTAAGTCGAGTGTTGTAGTTATAGACAACGGCTTTTGTTAAAAATGTATTCCCGCCCTTAAGTAAGTCATTTTTGACAAAATCCACTGATTCATATATGAGGAGACAAGGTAATGGTAAAATACCTTGATGAATAAAGAGAGGCTTTCAATAACTATAGACCAAACCAACTTGTATTATATCTACGTTTTCTGCATCTACCATGAATTTTACCATATTCTTGATATCGTCCCTGTTCCCATCTCTCTGTTGGCCTTTTTTAATGTTTTTATTTATTTTAGGTAATCTCATTATTATTTGGGTAGGTACCTCACAAAGAAATACAACAACTATTGAACTTGAAATACAGATGATTCGGAATTCAAAGGTATGTTTCATATGCACACTTACCAAGCGCTAGGTGTATTTATTTAAGGCTTTTGCCCCAGCATTTCCTTATTCACGATAACAAGTATAATGGCCGCGAAAGTCGCAACTTACAACATTTGTTGTTGTTTTTCATTCATGTACTTAAGAATTTCTGTGGCACCAAAACAGCAAATGTAATAAAATTTATATTTATTCGATAGATTTTTTCATTTAACATTAACCAGAGTACACCATTCTTACACCTTTTGGTAACGCTTTAAAATACGTCTTAATAGGAATAATTGAGACGTTCTCCTGATTAGGGGCTTTTGGGCACATATATCCTATTTCCTATTGAGATAGCTCACGGTAAAAAACTGTTGCCACAGGACCTCTGACCAAGAGATCCTATGGGTGGAGTTCTGACGGTGGTGAATTTTCGACACAAGCTATATAGCTAGATCGAATTCAACTGCTGACTGGAGAACTCTAGCGACCGACTGCTCTGATCGGTAGTTTTTCGTGGTTTCTCCAAGTCGTCAGGCGAATGTCGGAGCAGTACCTTAAGAAATCGGTCACAGACCACGCTTAATCTTTCCGTCCTCATCCTTTCCGTTCCTCTCCCCTTACATGAGGATGTACCTTGTTTTTTCGAATTTTTGAACGCATAACTGCTACATATTTTCGAACTACCGCAAAACAAGCCTCCCAGAAATTTCTTAGTGATCGAATAATTTTAATCCGTGCCGACTTGAGCTTGAATATCCAAGATCGAACATGACGCTTCGCGGCCGCTGTACTTACGAGTATGCCTGCCGGTACGGTTCATCACTTGTTACCATATTGAGGATTCATCGAGTGTTTCAGGTCGTTTATGACAACCGGCGAACACACAGTGATTCCAGTACCATTATCTGAAGATGAAGACAACATAACATGTCGTGGGTCATTGATAACGAAAAAGTTTTCCTCAAAACTTCTTTGTGGAAGCGACACTATCGTTTAAAACGTACTTAAAGTTTTCTGCAGAATTGATATTCCCGGATTAATCTAGATAATGTCGCGGCCCCTTGAATCTTTAAATTCACAAGAATCCTCCGCGATATTTTCTCAAAAATGGCTCAAAATTTGTTTCTTAATTTTTTTGCCCAAATAGAGCAAAATGGTTTGATAAAAATGGCCCAGTTCTGATGTTCAGTAAAATCTCTGAATTTTCGAAACCTGGAAATGGCAAAAGTTAACAATGTTCTGACATCCTCCTCCTACTACATTATTAAAACTAGAAATAGTTTTGCGAATGAGATCTGTCCTTCAGAAGAAGATCTTTAAATAACATCGTATAAATTTCCTTTGAAAATATGAGTAGTCTTCGTGTATTTTTTAATAAAATCGTAAACTCGCGTGTTATATAAACTTTTTAGTCATTTTAAAATTGTTGTAACTAATTTTTGTGAAGATATTACATAAACTAGTAGTGATACAATAGCACATACGTTCTCGCTTTAATTCTAACTTTTTAATTTTCGAAATTTCAGTGTGTTCAATGAAAATGAGAACTGCGCCGTTTTAAAGCGTCCTTTGCTCTCGTCTTTGGAAAAAATTTAAAGAAAAAAATTAGAGCCGTTTCTGAGAATTCTGTTGTAAATTGAATTAACTTCAAGCAGAAATTACGCGAAAATTACTAGTTTTTTTCAAAACTTTGATCTAAGCTTTTTAAAGATCCGCGATAAAAGATTTTGATTTCATCTTTAGAACTGATTTCCTTTAAGACAAAAATCTCTAACTTCAATACTGTGCTTTGAAATGTATTATTTTTTTGCAACTTTCGAAAATTCAGAGTGTTTGTCGAAACTAGGACCAAAACTTATTTCTTATCGTCCTTTGAAGAATACTTTTTTAGCCGTTTTTGAAAAAAAAATTGTTGACGCACGATAACACCCAGCCCATTCTCGTGTATGAATTAAGTCATCCTTATAAGCCGTAAAACCGAAATTTTAGAGCCAGACTGTAGATTCATTGCCAACTTAGCAAATGAGTTCTTGAATGTAAATACATGAAAGTATGGTATTCATTTTTAATTGTATAATCTGTACGTACATACTACTATCGTTAATTTGTAAAGGGTCCGACTAGCTGAATGAACTATTAAAACTAGTATTATTATTGTGTATTTTTGTTTTGAATACTTTTATTCTAAAAAATATCACGAAATTTGTTTTCATTTTCAGAGAAACACATTAATTGTTTGTTCACACTTAATGATGCGTATAAATATTACTTGAAACGACGTTCTCCAGTATTATATGAAACTATAACATTTTTTTGAAAACGTGTATTCGTTTAGTGTCTAGAAAGAAAAAAAGACACCCGAGTGTTAAATTATTTGAACTCTTTTTTTCTTATTTTAGGATAAATGTGAGAAACACATTAGAAGGTATTATAACAAAATTGTATTTATATTAACTCACTACAAGCAATAAAAATGTGTCAGAAAAATATTTGTATGGGAACATTACTTTAAAGTATTGTAAAACGGGCGTTTATAAAGTTCAACTGTGTGTGCGTAGTGTACTGTATATGAGTAAAAAAAAAGCATAACCAGCTTTGGATTTATGAGCAATAAAAAGATATATATTTCAGAACTTCAGAGTTGAGATTTTTCTCTGCACTTTGTACTTTCTCTACCATTGCTCTTCTAACCGCTTTTATGCATCTCGCATTATGGCTCGCTTGATCTGATTGATTTTCATTGAAAAACTGTATGTGACGTATGGGGGAGAAGTATAAACCTGCGTATGTTTGCTTGAGCTCAAGAATCGTTTTCAAACCTCTTTACATAGTTAAATAATGAAAAAAGGTACCAACAGAGCGAGGTTTGAAACATTTCAAAACTAGAAATTTGCGCTTTTTCTGTATATCCCATATCGTCTGTAAATGCTCTTTCGTGTAGGTTAGGTGTATGGTCGACCAGCAAGTTTACAAATGAAAAGCAATGAAACATTTACATTAGTTGCACTACAACAGCACGCAGATTTTTGCATTATCTGTAAATGTTACATAATATTCCTCTACTACTTGAACCTCCGAAAGTGTTTCCAACCCGCAAAATGTTTCCCTCTGCAGACATTCGAACACACGTACTCAGGTTTAGCAAGGTATGAGCATCCACGAAATCAAATGGCTCAATTTACATAACAAACTTCTCAACTCTTTAAAAAGAAAGTTGAACAGGTGCAACTCTTATTTTCAAAAGATTTACTAGAGATTATTTAAGGACATAATTTCCAAGAAAAGATTTCATTAATAAAAAAAACTTTAATATTGTAGTTCCAGGAAGACACCGAAAGATATTTAACTATTGCAGTTTTCGAAAACTCAGAGTTCAACGAAAATTGGTCCTGCGCCATTCTCATTACCAAACTTTGCTCTATTCGAGAAAAAAAATCAACTACATTGGAGCCAATTTGAGAAAATTTTAAGAAGGTGGTTAAGGCTTACTCACAAAATTTTTGAACACAATTTATTGTTATAATTAATTGGAGTTGCACGGGGTTGCACTTATGTTGTCAATACTATGAAATACTCGTTTTATTGCTCCAAGCCCGAATTTAGTTTATCTGACTCCTTAGAGAGCATTACGTGTGGCCTCCTCTGCACATTCTTTTTCTAAATTGATATGTGTTAATATCTTTGTTTTTTTTACAAAATGTGTATAAATATAATAAATTAATTTACTTTAAAAATACATTATTTGTTAAAATGTGTAAATATTATTTTCCCTAAGGTATATAAGAAATATTCCCCTAAAATTTATACATAAACTCAATTAAAATAGTCATTTTTAGTTTAAAAACATAATGGAAAATGGTTATATAGTAATATACATTATTTGAGGGGCTCGAGATAGTAACAAGATAAATTACAACAGCCACAGGAAGGTTTCCGTTATTTATAAAATTAATAACTACTTTATTCGAAGTATGACTCCTCTGTAACTGCCCCCAAGCTCTTCATATAGATGAACAAGACATATTGCTCGTGGTCTGCAGTAGTGGCACAACCTACACAAACTAGTGGTGCTACAGAATGGCACAGACTTGCCCGTATTAGTTTTCTACTTCCTTTGGTCTCGGCTAATTATACGAACTTGCCACATTCTCTTGCCATCTACTATCTATCGCCGCTCAAAGTACTTTTTTTTTTTAATAAATTTTCTTCATTTTTCGGTTTTCTAATAATAGAACAGAAGTGTTATTTTACGAATATTAAAGAACAGTACAACATCGTCCTAAATTCTGATTTTTTTAAACTTTGCAGCCGTTTTTAAGAAAATGACGGTTATGCGCTACGTAAATTTCAAATTTGAAGCTCTTTTTCACAGAAAAGTTTTGAGTTTTCGATAAACTTCATTTGAAGTCATTTGAACTACTTTAACTCACAAATACTAGAGTGTTTACAAATTACTGAAAACGCATATTAACGGTGTGAGAGATATTTCAAAAAAATTCATTTGTGTAATTTGTCGCAATATTCCTACCAAAAGCTTAAAGAGATAATTTGGGGCCCTTTCTGAGAAAATCTTGTCTTTGTAATTTTTTTAAAATTACACACATTGCTCGCAATATTGCCCGAAAACTACTAAAAGTTTTTAAGAAAATGTACGTGACATTAATGAAAGAATTCACTACGGAGAACAAATTTTATTTGATGGAAAAATCTCAATCCTCAGTTTTGTATTTGCAGGAAGACGCAAGAAAAATTTCGCAATTTTCAAAATTCAGAGTTAAACCTGAAAATTGGACCTATGCCACCTTTATAAGTGTATTTTAATCTATTCTTACAAGAAATTTAAAGAAAAAAATGTGGAGCCGTTTTTGAGAAAATTTTGATAATGTCCGGGGTCTTCTTGTGAAGTACCCCCAATTTTAAACATAATAACATAAATAAAAAAAAACACTTTTTCGGTATCGGGGAACCCCAAAACGTGTATCGAAATCGATTTTCCCCAGCATTACATAACTTTCCCTATACTACGTATAATACTCCGTATATACGTACGTATACGGGAAAGTAAAAATTTGAATTTTGAGTTAATTCACTCTCTCCAGAATTACAGATTGCTCTACTTTCCATTAGCAAGAGCACTATATCGCATAGTACAATATTCCACCAATAAATGGCAGAAGTGTGAATGCCAGAATGATGCATTTCAATACAAGATCAAAACTTCGAACTCATTTATATCAACATCTCATTTTTTGAGTTGTGTCACTATTGCAGCCCTCGAACGATATATAGAAACAAGATACAACACACGTCGACAAAAATCCGGATATTAACATATACGAAGCCAAGAACCCTTCATTTGTTCATCAATATTTCATTTTTAGGGGAAATTTGAATATGCATAAAATTGTGTTTCATGTCCTATTATTTTCAGATTTATGGCAATGGCATCAGAAAAGGTGCAGACTGAAGAAGACAAGAATGCCTGGATTCCAGGATTGGGTGAAAATAGACCTCAACCACGGCCTTTAAAAAATACATTTTTTGGTTATGTTCCTGACGCCTTTTCGATGAAAACTCCAGAAATGCCGTCCGAAAAGTCTTCCCAGAAGTCGTCTCCGCAGGTATTTATCTATACTAGCACTAATACTACCAGTAGTTTCCAATCGGGGCCATTAATAGGGGGTTAGCACACTGACTCCCAACATGTTCGCGAGTTCCTATCCGGCTTGGATTTTTCAAAGGACGAAAAATCGTGTATGCTGTCACACTCGTAGCATGCAAAAGTACCCTGGGCAAGTGTCCGGCAAAACTAGATCCTTTGGTGTCCTTCGTCCTAATCAGATCTTATATTCGCTCAGCCAGGGGTTCACGCAAGTCGGAGGCAGATGTGACGGAATTGTACCTGGCGGCGAACGTGAAAGTAAGAGAGATGGTAGTGTTGGACACCCATGAAGTGCCACATTCGAAAATGCTCAACAATACAGTTGATGTCGATAATGAGCCAATGGACAAATTTCCAAATTCCAGCCAACATAAAACATTACAACAACTATACATTTATTTTCACATGATTGTTCACAATGATATCGCAAAATTGTCAATATAATAATTTATGCTATTAGTTTATAATGTTGAGTTTTGTTGCACGAGTACATGTTTTGAAAACGAGCGACATTAGGAACGAGTTTTCAAATTTGTACGAATGCAATAAAGCAACACTATAAATGAGTTGCATTCTTTTTTTATTTTTATATTTTTGTATAACAGCATTATAAATTTAAAAGAGAATAAAACTTAATTTTGCGAAACAACTGTCTTGTGACGACTCTGATATTTGACATCTGTGCGAGAAAAAAATGGGGTCGGGTGTTCACTTACCTTTTTTCTTTCCACGATTCTCTCACTGCAATTGGCTGAATGTATGATGACGCATTCATTCGTGCCTTAAAATGCCTGATTATTAACGATTTCTTCCAATAAAAAATGTAGCTTACAATAATAATAATAAAAATAATTATTATTATTATTATTATTATTATTATTATTATTATTATTTTAGCCTACTAAGATCCCATTAAGGGCAAGGGTCTCCTGCTTTATAGCAGGGAATTCTCAATGAAGTACAGGGTAATGATGAGGTGCAAAAGGACTAGGGTGATGGTGGGAAGTGGCAGGTGGGATGGAGGGAGGTAATGGTGGCCATCTCAGCACCGAGGGAAACCGCGAAAACCCCGGTCAGGATGGCCGGCCCAGGGATCGAAGTTAGAGCGCTATGCACTGAGCCACTTCGCTCCGTTCGTTCTTAATGCTGTTATACAAAAAAAATATATTGGATGTATAGGTTGTTATTAAACGTTTTAACGTTAAAAATGTTTGATGAGGAACCATACAATACTCAGCTGTTGTATTCAAAGCACTCAATGATGAGCGATGTCACATAATGCTGAGCGATCATGTTGGTGCCGTAAAAGAGAAAGCAAAGGCAATTAGACACAATTGTCATTTACTGGACACGAGCATAGAAACGTGTGAACTAGTGCATCGCCTGAAAGGTACATTGTTCCCATAAGATAAAAATAATAAGTAATAAAAGAATTGTTTGAAGAGTGAATACTAGAAAACTTCAAATACATAATTGTAAGACGTGTCTGAATTCTTGACCATGTTCTTTTGACTCCCTACACTCTTGCAATCGACATTTGAAGTGCATGTGTGTTTGATGTCAGTTTATGCGTTCGTAGGCTTCCGCGGCCGGAGTCAATACATTCTTGGCTATCCGGGATGAGCCGCGTCTCGGTCAATTGTGCTGACGTTTCGACCATCTTGCTGTGGCCTTCTTCAGAGCTATACTACGTAAGGTGGGCACAGATAGGCGGTCTAGGCCCGCTGCCAACGCGCCGAAGATACCCTGGGAAAGGACTCACGTTGCCTCTTACTGTTTCACATCTTTCTCGCTCTGATACAAACAAACAAATATCTTCTTGAGCAATAAATGCCAAGAAAGTGAACTCGTCTCGTATCGTGGACCACTGACTCTCAAACACCTGTAAGCAAGTCTTCATTCAATGTGCAATTAATTTTAGTCACGTATTACGGGTGTTGCGTTATATAGTGACTGCAATAATTGCCTGAATTTAGTTCTTCCTTCATCGCTCTTACCTAGTAAGAAGAAAAAGTAGTGTAATCGTGCGTCGGAAAGCGGCAGATTCTCGACAGAAAAACCCTTATTGCCGTGCCCTGGTAATGAAAAAGTGGGTAAATCTTGTTCCTCTTTATAGTAAATTACATCCTCGTTGTGTAGTCAGAATCCTTGTTTTGTGAGTCCTTGATACCAAAAAAATGTTTGGAAGCAAAACGTCTATGACTGTCCGTATGTGGTCAAAGTTAGCGTCTAAACCGTTTAGCCGATTTTCTTCAAAATTGTTATTCCTCTGAAAATTTAAATGAACACGGGGCCCTCTCAGTTCAAAACGGGTATTTTGATTTTGGTGGGTACTTTATTTGAAGCCTCAACAATATTTTCAAAATTTTATCAAAACTTTTTAATTAAACTTTGTTCTTGTATAGCATAAAGAACGCTTAAGAGTGGTGGAAGTCTCATTTTTGCGGAAATTCCTTATTTTTCGAAAATTGCAAAATTGTTTTCGATGTCTCCCTAAAATACAATATTCTAGGTAGAGATTTTTTCGAAATAAAATTTGTCTTTTAAAGAAATATCTTGAAATAAGGGCACGTACAACTTTTCGAAAATATGAGTAAATATCTAGTACTTTTACGCCAAATTGTGGGCAATTTTGAAACAATTTCAAGCAATTATTTTCTTAAAAAAACTCCAAATTTTTTCTTTAAATATTTTCCTCGTATCTATCAAAAGACAGTAAAAAAATGTGCTAATCTCATTTCCGGTGAACTCTATATTTTCGCAAATTGCAAAATGTTAACTTTTTGAATGTATAATATTTAAGAGAGATATTTTTGTTTTAAACAAAATCTCTTCTAAAATATCAGATTCTTAAAAACGGTAATTAGGACAATTTTTTGGAAAAACAAGTGGTATTCACGCAATTTGTGTGTAAATTTAATAGAATTGATAAAAAGGATATTTTCTCAAAAACGGTTTCAAATTTGTTCTTTAATATTTTTAAGAAACTGCAAGGAAAGCTTAAATGGCGCAAGTCTCATTTCCGTTGAACTCTGAATTTTCGAAAATAGCACATTTAGAATTACTGCAAAAAAGTATGTGATAATGTTACACCATTAGTTTGTAAATAACAATGATCCGTTGTAGAGAGACAGACCTCAGTGCTTTTTTATGACAACAAAAAATATATAAAACTCATTATAAACAACCACTATCATCATCGCAGATCTTGACCTAGAGTACTACATTTTTTCCGTCAAGTAATAATTCGCCAGTGATTAATAGTTTAACATCGTATTCCGTAGAAATAGGATGTATCAGCAATCAAGATGGCCGACTGTGCTAAAAATATGTAATAATACCAACATTTATAAAAAGGTGTAACATAGCAATGGCTAATTCATTCAGTATGTGTTGTAAACTCTAAAACGTATTATTGAATGCAGGTATCTTGTTCCTGTAGAAATATGTTGACAGAAAATCCCTATTTATTGTATCATCTCTCGTGTACTAATTTAGAAAATTGATTGTTCTGCTGTATAACGTACAGGTTTTGCATAACATGTATTTGACACAAATAAGTTTGTTACAATGCGTTGAAATGAATGGAATTTGAATAGTGTCCTATGAGATTGCGTCTGTCCCGCTATACATTACGAAGTGTGGCATTCATCAGACCGCCAGAGACCTCAACAAAACTGGAATATGTCCCTTACCCTTCGTTGTTTATAAACAACCTTACGTTACAGCTCTGCACCAGCCGTCCTATTGACTTAGTATGCTGCAGGAGGCACCATCGTTGTCTCGACCCTGGCGTTCCGTTTTAAACATGCAATGTGTGGTTGGATTTTACTTTCTCGTCTTACTTTCTAAGAAGAGAAACTTTATTTGTGCACCGAAAATCGGCGATTTATCGACTCATTGCCGGGCCCTCCACCACCACTCCACATTTTTACTGTCCTTTGATATATGAGGATAAAAGTCAAGAAAACATTTAGAGTAGTTTTTTAGAAAATAATTATTTAAATATTGCGAGTATTGCACGCAAAATTACGCGAAAACTACTCATATTTTCGAAAAATTGTTCATGACCGCATTTCAAGATAAGTCTACGAACAAAAGATATATTAAAGGACAACATTTCTTATATTCAATATTGCAATTGCACAAAAATGCCGAAAAATTTTGGGTTTTTCAATTTTCAAAAAATCAGAGATTTCAACGAAAACGAGATCCGCGCTGTTTTTTAAAGAGTTCTTTACGTTATCTGAGGACGAAGATTAACCAAAATATTTTGTCATTTTTGAGAAAATGTTGAAAATCAAGATGGTTCATGTGTATTACCCACAAAAATCAAAATATGTTTCAAACACGCAGGGCCTCGAGTTTGTTCAGACTGTTTGGGGAAAATAAATTTTGGAGAAAATTGTTTAGCACAAGTGTTGACCACAGACAAACAGGCCTTTTGCTGTCAAGCGATTTTTCGCTATCATGGATCAACAAAGCGTGCATTCTGACTACACATGTTAGAGGAAGTAATTTACTAGATGTGTAGGAACACTATGTTTCCACGTTTTTGTCACAAGGACCCGGCAATTAGAATTTTCCTGTCGAAAAATTGCCCATTTCTGGCGCACGATTACCATACTTTCCCATCGTACGGTGTAAAGCCAGAAAGTAAACTAGTGCTACTTTAACAGCACACACTTTCTTGCATTATTTATAACTTTTGCAATATTTGAAAATTCACAGTTCAACGAAATTGGGACGCACGCCATTTGCTTAAGAGTTATTTACACTATCCGAAGACAAAGTTTAAGCAAGAAAATTGGATCCATTTTCTAGAAAGTTATGAAAAATTTCGGCGAGGCTTCATCTAAAGTAGCCCATAATCAAAATATCAATTTCAAACTCGCAGGACCTCGAGTTCGTCAAGATCGACTGGGAAATACAAATAAAAAAAAATGTTTGACCAGATTA